TCACCAACAAGTCTCTCTCATTTATTCATCTCTGCTTACCGTCGTCTTACAGTGCCCGTGAGGGTTTTCACTAATAAGACTCTCTCATTTTTCTTTTCTTTTTCTTTCCCTTTTTGTGAGAAACTCGACGGTGTTCTACGTCATGTGACAACCATTGCTCATTGCATGCTTCTCTTGGCATTCTTGAAGACATATCGGGAGGTCTTTATTTGGAAGGATTTTGGATAGGGTTGGAAAGAAAGGTCGGCATGAAGGCTCAAAGTAAACTCAAAATGAGGGGTTATGGACTTACAACTCTTGGAACCGACTCTTTTACAAGTGAAATAAAAATCTCTGCCCCAGTTTCAGCTATTAGGGATTTTTTGGATTTTTTTTTTTTGAATTCTTATTTGGTTGGACCAGACCGTGAGACTGCCTACGTATCCTTTTTTTAAGGAGTCAGGTCGAACGTAGTTCAAACATCTGGCCTAAACTGGTTTTTATCTTTCTTTCTGTTTTTTTTCTCTTTTTTTTCTTTTCTTTTTCTTTTTTTTGTTTGCCCCAGCTTCTATTTTTGAGGGCATGGACCTTTGACAATTCTTTTCTTCTTTTTTACACTTGAGCTTTCTAAAAGCTGCCCCAGTTTGTACTCTTGGGGCATGGACTTTTTTTTGGCCTCTAAACTTGATTCCAAAAGAGGGTAATCAAAGAAAAATAACACAGACTTAAAAGGGGTAGCAAAGGATATAAAGTGTTTGGGTAATAGAAAAAGGGCCTCCCAACCTCAAGAACGTCAAACATGGTATCTTTTCATGATCACAGCATTGACGAACATGTCTGTCTTCTTGGTGTGCCATGGTCACAAGACATTTTTTCATCCCTTAGTGACAAACTCTCCAACAAACATCAATTGATTAAACATCATCAGGCCCGATCTTCATAATGATTTGAAGGTGAATTTTACTCGACCTTAGTTCCAAAGTATTCCAACTCTTTATTCATACTCAAAACTACTTTTTTTAGTTATCTAATTCCAGATTAAATCAGTTCCTAAGATCTGGCCAAAATTTCCGCATGCATGTCATGTCATTAGAACTAGTGAGAAAAGAACTAGGAACAGAATAACACAAAAGGACAAACAGTATTTTATTGAGTAAAGGATGAAAGAGTTTTACAACTAAACAAGCAACCTAAAATACGAGTTACAACCCTAAAATAACCCGAATAATGAAAATAGCAATGGAATAAACAGACAAGACTCACACAAATATAATGGAGAGATAGAAGGGTTTGATTTAATAAAGCAAATAAAATCTGGATCACAACCATAAAATAACCCAAATAATAGAAAAAACTACCAAGATTCCTTCCTAGTGCGGAGGGAATGACTTTTCAATTGTTAGGCTTGGCATTTAGCCACAAATTTGCTCATCAGAATCAGCAAAGCCTTCTCCAATTTCAACATCATTAACTTTAGTTAGCAAGTTCCCGAGAGGATTCTCATACTCCATGTCACCAGGCATCATCCCCACAAAGTGTGCATCATGATGTGTAGGTAAAGGATTCTGCGCGATATTCTGGATGTCACTACCTTGGATCACAATCAGGTTTTCCTGCATCATCCTTTCTATTTCTCTTTTCAAATCCCGACAACTTTCAACATTGTGCCCATGGGCATTACAATGGTATTCACACCTTTTAGATAGGTCAAAGCTCCTTGCACGTGGGTCCACATGATTTGGAGGAATGGGTGCAATCATGTCATGACTCTTTAACTTCTCAAATAAGCTTGCATAGGACTCTCCCATTGGTGTAAAATTATCT